CAGGCTTTCTCTTTCTAGCTCTGCCTTTACAGGCAGAAACAAGGCACGGTTGGTGCTGACTCTGCCTCTGTGTCTGGGCAAGGCAGGAGTTGCCACAGAATTCCCCATCCTAGCAGTGAGTTGGGAGACTGTTCTTTTATTCCCTCTTCAACTCAGGCTCCCCTGACATTACTTAAACAGCATCCTCTGGATGATGTGAGTAAAACAGAGAATGCTGAACAGAAGAATAAGGCTGACAATTTCAATTTGTCCCAGTTCTGGGCAGGGGAAAACGCAGGGTCAAAATCCTGATTTACCTTATGTAGAATAAGCAGCAGAGAATGGAATAAATTGATTTAAATGCAGGGGAGATAAAGTGTCTTGATGCACTCAACTTCCCCATGAATAAACCTGATTTTTCCACAATCCACACAAGGGTGGCCAGGCTGTTTGGGGGATAAGAGCTGTACTGTGAGGGTCCACAGGTCCAGGGGGATGTAACTCCAAGGCAAGGTGGCTACATGTCTAGGCAGCAGTAAACTGTGAAGAGAACTGGGGGAAAAAAAGCCCACTGATTTCTTAGTTACAGCCTGAAAACTGAGTGAAGGAAGGCAAACCATACTGGCTTAGAGCTAGACCCCAGCTTCTAGAGATTAGGGGAGGAAGAGAGTGGCCCTACCACAAACCCATGGACAGAAAATCATCTAGGACACAAGGACTCTGTTCCTGTTTCATGAACTGGTCCTCCCTGATGGCTTTTTCCACTGCCTTTGGCACAAGGAGGAAGAGCCCCCTTGTCATCCTTGAGGAGCTGGGTGTCAGCTCCTCAAATGAACCTTTTTCATCTCCCCATCAAAGCTTTGTCCCAAGACCAACATGTAGAGGGTCAAGAATATCTCTTCTGTGGCATGAATAGGCCCCCAGGGTAGTTACAGGACTCCTTTTTTTTCTAGCAGCTGTGCATTAGGTAAAGAACAGAAATCTGCTATGGGCACTTGCTCCATAATGGAGTGAAATATTCAGGTTTTGGTGCAATCTAGCCTGCCTCCCTGTTTGCATCCCCTTCTTCCCCACCCCCTCACTGTCCCTGAGCTGTGCTGTTGGCATCTCTTCAGCATTTTAATGGAGTATTGACAGTGATCCATTCGCACTCCAAACAGATGAACCTGACTTGCATCCCCAGAACTGCATTTGCCGAGCCAGCCCAAGCAGGTGGGTTTGGAGCATTTCCTCGGATGGATCAGCTGCAGTTCCAAAAGCATCCTTTTTTCTGGTTAGAGAAACAGCTTGGAAAAGTCGAGCAAGGATATTAAACTTTGGAAAACTGCTGCCTCGGGTCTCTTGTCCCTCCTCCTACCTGCTGCCATGCTCCCTGTCTCTGCAATTATTTATAAAGCCCCATGTTCTTGCCTAATTGGGATGTTCCCTTTCGCCTTGCACATCACTCCCGTGTCACTCTGTGTCTGGGCCCCTGGTGACCTCTTGGAGGGCTTGGCAAGGCTGGCAGCAGCCAAATGAGTCACCAGCAACCTGCTGGCATCTCCCTCCCTCCAGCCATTGCCCCCCTGGCTCCCACCGAGCCTGGCTGCAGCCGGGGAGGCCTGGGGGAGTTTAAAGCTGTCTAATCCCCTGGATAATTCATGGAAAGAGGATTACCCATTCTGTGCAGAGCCCTTAACCTAAATATAAACCAGCCTTCCCCTTGCATTGCAGCTCCTGTGGCATGGAGGTGTTCTCCCTGCACTGCTTCCCCATCCCATCTTAGGATCTTAGGGGTTAACTCTGCTCTTGCTCAAATCTGGGACAGCCTGGTTCTAGCCCATGGAGCTACAGAGCAACAAAAGCAGGGTTTGTAAAGCAGAGGTGAAACTGTGTTCTGTGAGCACAGGATCAATGCTCATCCCCAGAAGCACGTTCTCTCCCTAGTAAACAGCAAACTCCTTTGTTGGGGGTGTCAGGGAATATACTTTCCTACTGTATGTTTGGAAACCAGTGTCATGGTGCCATCAGAGCCTGACAGCAGTGCATCAGGAGGGCAGAAAGAAGTGTTAAACTTGGATAATCCCATGGGGGTTACAGCAGCCTGCCCCAGCACCTGGGCTCTGGGCCACCATGAGCTGCACTATCCCTGCTGCCAGAGAGATGGTGAAAAGGGAATAGTTAACATGTTACCTTTCCTGCTTGCATTCAGAGATGGAGGGATAAACTGATGCAGGAGGGATTCCTGATGGATTCAGCAGCTTCCTGGGAGACCACAGCAAGCCTCCCCTCTCTCATTTTCTCTCTCTTATTTTCTTGAGCTTTTCTCCTCACCTGCTTCTCGATTTCCTCCTCTCTTCTTCCCCAGATGGTGAAATGAGGTCTGACCCAGCCACCACAGGCACTCCTTTCCTGCAATGCCTTTTTTTTTTTTTTTTTTTTTTTGGCAGTTAAAGTCTTTATGGGACTTTAGTCACCGTAACATTAAAGCATTCATTAACACAGGAGTAATTCCATAATCTCTTCAGAAGAGAACAATTTCAGAGGTTCAGCTGGAAAATCAATTTGCCAGCTTGACGATGCAGGAAGAGGATTTTTCAAAGGCTGGCTTTGGCTTCCCCAGCAGGACTGTTATCAACCCTGGGACTTGGTGGCCAGGAAGAGGCCACCCACAACAGCTCTGAGGGGAGGTGGCAGGACCCAGGGCTGTCATTTGGCTCAGGCAAGGAAGGGAGCTGTGGCAGTTGCAGGATGAGCCTCAAAACCAGACCTGTCACACCAGGTTTTGCCCAACAGTGTGCTGTACAGGTGGGACAGCATCACCATGGGTCACGGGGAATTTCCCTGCCTTTTTTATCTCTCATACTTCATGTCACCAAAGCAGTGCTCCCAGCTCACAGCATGAAAGGGATGCATCTCAAGCATCCTGCCTTTCCCCTGCAGTTACAGGCTAAACTAAACTCTTGCACCTCCTGTACCAAGTACCTGCCCGTGTGCTCTTCCTCTCCTCCTGGAATTTTTCACACTTTGCCTGTGCTGTCAGAAGCTGGGGCCCACGCCCTGCCTGCAAGCACACAGCCAGATTGGCAGACATCATCTGCAGGTGCAAAGCTGACTTTAGGGAAGCATCCAGCTCTGCACTTGCAGGCTGGGGGCTGCCTCAGAACCTGAGTGGGCTTCCACTTCCACCTCCAGCTCAGCTCAGCTCCTTCAATCAGAAGTTGTCAGAGACTTTCATGTAAAGATGTGCCAGAACACAAACAGGTGCAAAAAGCTGCTTCATGGGACAGACCTCTCAGAATCTGGCAAGCTGAAGTGGAAGGCTGTTTCATGTCAGCTCCTTTTTGGTTCTGGCTTTGATGCTCCCAAAGGGTTCCCCAGCACCCACATTATGCAACTGCAAGGTCGTGTTAGGAAAACCTAAGGTGTCCTTGCAGATCTGATCTCCAGCTGAGTTCATCTGACAGTGGTGGACGTGTTTTTTACAGCAGGGCCATGAGGAGGAGAAGCAACAGGAGTTATTTAGGACCTCTTGGAACTCTTGAGACCCAGGGCCCCAGTGTAGGTGCTGCTACCTGTGGTAGCTCTCTTACAGAGAAAGGAGAATTCCCTTCCTCTTTCTGATGGAAGAGGGCTTTTCTACTGTGGATCAGAAGAAGCCATGGATACTGCCTCTGCTCCCACTCCTTCCTCCAGGCTGTCCTCTAGGAGTCTGACCATGGGCATCCCACTACATGAAGTGTTAGGGCCCCATGTAATTTAGGGCAGAGGCACTAAAGTGTATTCCCGAATGAGCAGCAGAAGTTGGGCTCAGTGCCTGGGGTGATCAGTGAAGAGCTGTTATATATTCCGTATCTGGCTAATTAAACCAGAGAATTAACCCTTTTCCTCTCCCTTCCCCCAAATGATAACACCAGGGACACAGAGGAGATGTGAAACAGCAGTTTTTGTGTCATGTCAGAGGCAGGATTTTTTCTCAGCGTACCAGAAGCTTCTACTCTGACTCCTCATGGCAGGAATCCCCCTTAAGCTCTAGCGGGGAAATACAAGTTTCCAACCTGAACACAGTCAGGAATCCCCCTCAGCACACACGGAGCACTGCATGCTCCTCCCCTGAACATTATCACCATCAGGCTGTTACTCCTCTCCTATTTTTCTCGAGATGAGGTCATCGCTGACAAGTAATATCCTTGCAGGGCCACTTTTTGCCCATTATTTTTAATGGGATCTTGGTGTGTCATGGATCATATTGCTGCAGTTTGACACGTGTAATAAAATTTTCCCTTGAACAACACTTGTCCTCCAAAAGAAAAATAATCCCTGCAGAGACGTGTGCCTGGATGTGTTACAGGATGTGCTGTGGGCATGCACACACGCACGGGAACTTGTCACCACAGCACCTGCATCCCAGCACAGCCACCGTGCTTTCTCTCGGTGGCTTCATTTAACCCTTCCTGAGAGGGGAGGCTGACTGCAGTTTTTATCTTCAGCTGCAGCTGAGCTCTGCTGGAGAGGAGGGCGAAGGGAGGACAGCGGCAGGGGTGCAGGACAGCTCGGGCTGGTGTGGCACGGCCACACTCGCACAGCCCAGGGGTGCCAGCACCGCCACAGTCCCGCACGGCTCCCTGCGGACCCCACAGCCCCTGTCCCCGAGCAAACAGCTTCTCCTCCTCCCTCCAGTCACCCCGGACGGACACACCGGGAGCGCCCCGCTCTGAACTGCTCAGCCCGAGTTAAACTCCACAGCGCGGCAGCTCCCGGCAGAGAGCGAAGGCAGCACGGGGGGGCTGCTTAAAATAATTCCCAACTGCCCTGACCCCTTCAACCTCACCGCCCTGACCCCTTCAACCTCACCGCCCTGAGCCCTTCAACCTCACCGCCCTGACCCAGCCCCTACAGCTCCCACCCATCCATCCCAACTCAGCCACCCACTCCGCGCCCTTGCACATCTTTTCCAGCGGCGCATTTTGTTTTAGTTTCTTTTCCCCGGGCTGCCAGCTGCCCCCCAGTTCCGTGGGGCAGGGGGAGCGGCCGGTTCTTACCTGGAGCGGCCCCGGGGCGGTGCGGCGCAGCGCGGCTCTGCGCTCGCATCTATCTCCTCTAGCGCCGATGCAGTCCTGCCAGCCGCCGCATGCCAATGATGCAGCCCCGGGGATGCCAGCCCAGGAGCCCCCAGCGCTGGGAGGGAGCCCAGCGGGTCCTGCCCGCTTCTCTGCCGTCCCCAGCCCGGCTGCGGAGAGTGCGGAGGCAGCCCAGGGGAAGCGCAGAGAGCGAGCAGCTGCACAGCAGGCAGGGAGGGAGAGGCAATGTTTGTGTAATTTCATCAGGGTAATAAAATCCAACCCAGAGTCGTCTAGTGTTGGAGCTCTCTAGCAGAATTCTTCATTACATGAGGGATTTTTTTTTTCTTTTTTTTTTTTTTCTTTTTTTTTTTTGTGTGTGTAATTGCTGACATACAGGAATGTTTCTAGCTGGAAGCTAGAAGGGGAATCCCAGCATGACTGGGCATCCTTTATCTCTCCACTTCATATATTAGACCATTGCTACACTTGAGACCCCTCTCCCCGGGATGACTAGGGAAGGGGCACGTTTCAGACAAAATCCTGGGAAAAGCCTGTTCTGTTTAAAATTCCCTTGTGTTTATAATTTGCAAGCTCATTCCGAGAAGAGTAGCAGGAAATATCCAACTGTCCATGCAATTTGGTGCTGGAAAGAGACCATGTGGACACAGCAGCATGGAACACAGTCTGTCCTGAAAATCCATCCCATCATTCTGTGTTATTAAAAGAGATAAGCAGTAACATGAGCAGATGTCTTACTGAGGAGCAAAGCATGCAGCTCCTAAGAAAGCCTTCCCAGTGTACATGGGGGGCCTGTCCACACCTGGCAACATCTCTCCGTGCAGAGGCACCCAAATTAGTCCAGATAATGAGAGCAATATTTTCACTGACAGATTTTCATAGCTGCTTCTCCTAACCTAAAATTAAAGAGCAGCATGGATCCACAGGCTTTTCAGAAATGAAACAGGGGCAGGTTTACAGGGAAGCATGAATTTCTTGTACTTGAGCAAAGAAGTGGAACCCCAGCCCTCCACCCTACCTCTGTCAGCAGGAGACACCTGGAAGGCCACCTTCCCACTCTGTGCCTCAGTTTCCCTACCTGTAAGCCAGCACTGGCACTACTGGCCCCTCCAGGCTGTATAAGCACTAGAGATTGTCACTCCTTAGGCTTTTTCCAGGGTTCCTCCACACACATATTCCACCTTTCCTCCCTGGCCTGTATGTTACTGCACCCCCTCAGCTCACCTGATCTGAATCTCCAGCTCAGGTGTGCTTGTACTAATTGACAGCATTCCAAATTGGGCCTGTAAATTCTCTGTTTATCTGATGGCTTGCTGATACAGTTTCTGTGACTGCACTGGTGGCATCAGTGCCATACAGAAGACGCAGTAGGTGATTAATTCAGATTTTTTTTTTTTTACACCCACTCATAAAAATTGGAACTTGAATCTGAGGTTCAGCTTTATTCTCCCTTGCACAGTACATTAGCTTAATTGCATTTTGTGTTTGGTACAGTGCATCAGTCACTTTGATGTGGGAGCACTTCAGAAGTCAAATTATTACCAGGACTCCTTCACATTACAGGCCAAGTATCAAGGCCTTGGCAAAGATAAAAAGAGCAAGTCTATCACCATGCCACTGAACACTGCTTGCTTGCCTGTCACTTCTTCTCTGAGTCCTCCAGCTCATTAATAGTTCAAATTGCTGTAATGACAGGAGCTCTGTTTGCAGGTGTCAGGTCTGTGCGTGGGTCATGCTCAGGGAGCACAGCACCCTTCATGCTGTGCTCTGCTGGAAATGGCTTGGGTCAGTCCCAGCCCCATCCCAGGGGCTGTTGGAGGGAGGCTGCTCTGCCTTGTGTCACCTTCCACTTGCAGGAGGGATTGGAAGAGAGGAGAGACACGGCAGGCTGGCCAAATGACAGCAGGGACACTGGGGAGTTGTCTCCGTTCCCTGCATCTTCCTACTGTTTGCCATGCAGCAGAGATCTCAGTCAGGTAAACTTGTGTTAAACCTCACTGCAGAATGAACAGAGAGGGAGGCAAAAAACCTGGGAGGCGTTCTTTGCCAATGCACTGTGATTAGCAGAGTTTCTAATTACCTCTGCACCCTCCTGTGCTCTCTGTTAATCACTGCTGCCCGTATCCAGGTACCTCAGCCAGGCAGAGCCACTTTCTGTGGTGCCATATGGTGCCAGCAGGGACCCTCATGGGCTGCCTGGCATCCAAGGCAGCAGGATGGGAAGGCCTAACATCTTTCTGTTCAAAAGAGCACATTAATGAAATCTGCAGCAATCTGACTGTCTCGGAGCTGCAAGGAGGAAATGGAAAACAAAGCAGAGCTGCAATGAATAAGTACCTGGCATGGAGATGGATAAAATTATATAACCTATCATATCCCAGGGAAATAGGAGACTGTGTAAAGGCTGATCATGAAGGTGTATTAACCAACATGACTACACAGGCAAATAGAGCTTGATCTAAACCCATAAGCTCACTGAGCACAGGGCAAAGCTCACAGATCTACTGTGAAGCACAGTGGGACGGGAGATCTGGCCAATCCATGTCAAAATCAAGCCATTTTCCTCTTATCCCACCTCAGCGGTTTCTGTTTTGCCTCCTTGCATGAACCAGACACCAGGGACCCTCGCACTGAGGTGCAGAGCTGGGCAGGGCAGGGTGCCCTCCTTCAGCAATGCTCAGATGCTGTGGGGAAGGTGTACACAGCAAAAGAAGAAGACAAGTGGTGCAGGAGCAGCCTCTGGGATGGCTCACGGGCTTTGGAGTGAAAGGAAGGCAATTAGAGAGAAAGCACAATTCTAAAAATACTCAAACAATGCATATTTCATGGCTCTGCATGTAGGCTTACATGCCTGGGCACTTGCTGTGAGAGGCACTCAGTACCACGGGGCATTGTGCGACCAGGGGAGGGTCAGCTCAGAGCTTTTAGGGTGGTTTTCAGGGTGTGGGGTGCACACACAGCACTCACACACACACTGGGGTGTCCCTCTCCTGCCCTGAGCCCTCCCACACGCTCTGCAAGAGGAGCCCCAGCTGACCTGTCCTTGGAAGAGTCCGTGTCCTAGCAGGAGCCAGGAGGAGCCAGCTGTAACCCCTGCCCAGTCTGTCAGGGGTTAAAGGGGTCTGTGTGACCAGGATTTGTGCTGCAGGGCGGTGGCAGCAGCAGCTGGGCGTTGCCACCTCTCCAAGGTGTGCAGTGACAGCAGGCTGGTGGCTGCTGCTCCCCGCTGGTGACAGCTGTCCAGCCAGAAACTGCCTAACCTCCCCTCCCTCCTCCACTTCTGCTAATGAAATTTCCTTATAAAAGCCACAATCTGGCCTTACTAGAAGGGAAAGTCCCAGGCAGTATTTGATTGCACCTTCAATTACACCTGATAAGCAGGATTAGTAATGCAGATAACAAATACAATGTAAAGAGCTATACATGCATTAAGTCTAATTATTGGTATTGCTGCTGATCACTGGCAGATTTAGATAAAATGCATATGGAATCTATCTGAATATCAATAAAATAGCTGTCAGTCCTCTGTGCTGAAAGTAGGAGAAATGGGGGCAAACACCTCAATGTATTTCATATTTTCCTCCAAGATTCTGAGATTTTCTAATAAAGGCTCTGTTTCCAGAAAGCATAATAATACTTTTTTCCCTTAAATTAGCCTGTTACTTTCTGCTTGACAGGAGGTCCTGACTATCATGGCAACCCAAAGGGCTGCACCCTGGAAGACCAGGAAATCCCAGCACCAACTGTGCTTCTGAACACTGACCCCATTGCCTTCTCAGAGAGGTGGTTCATGAATGTACAGGCTACAAAACACAATCTGCATTTGTGCCCTCCAAGCCAAAAGGGCTCCTGAACTATCTAAAACCCACATGACACCACTGATGCTGAGATTTCAGGGCAAAAGTGCAGTCACTGTGGCAATATCAGCTTACCTGAGCTGGAAAGCTGAGCTGGAGAGGCCACACCACACTAGGAAAATAAGAAATCAACATCATGGTAAACACTTCACTGTAGACTATTTGTGGCATAAAAACTTCAGTTTTCCAAGGAGCCCTTAAAAAGTGCCACTGGCACATGCTGTGACAGGCCAGGGGATGTGATGTCAGCTGCCATCCCTCAGCAGCATCGTGGCCCGTGAGTGGTTCAGTGTGGGGATGAGGTGCTTCAGTGTCTCTAATCCAGCAGAAACCATTCTGTAAGACAGTCCTGAGAGAAAAAGCATGGGGGCTTTGGCAGGTCTAGCTGTGAGGGCCAAGCTAGTGAGTAAAGCAAGACCTGTGCTGACAGCACTGGACTAAATACATCACCTAAGAGCTGCATCCTCCAGCTTCACCCTACACATTACTTTTTTTTTTTTTTTGTCCCTCTTTCCTCCTCTCTTTCTCTAATGGTTCTGTTCCAGGTTGAAAATCCCAAGTACGAGCACAGAGAACCATTAAAGGGCAGCTCACATATCTCTTTTCTTCCCCTATTTTCATCTTTCAAAATGAAGGAATATATTGTCAGGTTAACTCTGACTTTGCAGAGCTCTAATGAGTTAGTTTATTTATGGGGAAAGGATGAATGGTTCCCTACATGTTAATAGCACAATCATCAGCAAACCCCTCAGCATTAATATTTAATGTCCTTTGCTATGTACATGCCTGGCTGTTATTCAGAGAGGGCTGAGTCAGGAGAGCAGAAGCTGCTGGGGATTGAATAAGCATTATTTGTGGGATTTCTCTGAGTGGAAAATGGAAAGTAGAGAAGACGTTGTTTTTGTGTGTGGTAGCTCAATTGTCAAGAAACTGCATTTCTGGATAGTGTATAATACATGCAGGGAACTGCTGCAATGGAACTCTGGCTTTTTGCATTACCTGATTTCTTTAATAGCTAGGTATTAATTGTTAGGTTTATTAACCTTTCACATCCATAACACAGTCTATCTCCCATCTTTTATCTGGATTTCCTACAAGTTAGACAACAAAGTAAAATAAGGATGTGAATCCTACATCATTAGTACTTCTATATGCAGAGACAAATATATTAAGCCTATATATGATATTAAACAAATATTAATCTTAAATCTGTTCTTCCTCTGTATCTGTGGTGATACAACTGCCAGTTACAGAAGGTTCCATCCTGCTCCCCTGTACAGAACAGGTATCAGCAGTATTTTTCCAGATAGCAGAGCTATGCCTGTTCTTCAATTTAAATTGCCCATAAATGCTCCACTAGCAAAACCTTTCCATATTTCCATGATTACTCTGTAACTATAGCAAATGGCCTAAGCCTGGTGTACAATACTCGTTTTATTTGAGTGTTTTTTCAGAACACTCTGATAGATGTGGGCATCTAAGGGATAAGAAATTGTGCTATATTGCATTACAAAGAAATTAAATACGAAGGTGGAATTTCAGATGCAAAGGCTCAGGTTT